TCCCTCCTCTCTCCTCCCTCTTCTCTCCTCCCTCCTCGTTCCTCATCCATCCTCTTTCCTCCTCCATCCTTCCTCTTTCCGCCTCCGCCTCCTTCTCCTCGACTTATTTTTTATTATTATCATTCGTATTAGTATAATTCGTAATCGTATGAGTACTATCGTTATTCGTCTTCTGAGTATTATTAGTGTTCGTACTCTTCTTCTGCTTTTTATCATTACTGTTGTTATTGGTATTATTCCTCCTCCTCCTCCTCCGCCTTCGCCTCCTCCTCCTCCTCCTCCTCCTCCTCCTCCTCCTCCTCCTCCTCCTCCTCCCCCTCCTCATAATAGCTTCCTCCTCATAATCCTCCTCCTCCTTCTTTTCCTCCTCCTTCTCCTCCTAGTCCTCCTCCTCCTCCTCCTCATCATCATCCTCCACGTAATCTTCCTGCTGTTCCTGATCCTCTTCCTCCCCCTCCACCTCCACCTCCTCCTCCTGATCATCCTCACCGTCATGATCAACCTCCTCGTCCTCATCCTCCTCATCCTCCTCATCTTCCTCCTCCTCCTCCTCCTTCTCTTCTTCCTCCTCCCCCTCATCCTCCTCCTCATCATCCTCCTCCGTCTCCTCGTCCTCCTCCGCCTCCTCCGCCTCCTCCGCCTCCCCCGCATCCTCCTCCGCATCCGCCTCCGCCTCCGCCTCCGCAGCAGGCCGCGCGAAGACGCCAAAGCACGCCCACGTCAGGAACGGCGGCACGACGATCCGGACTGGCCGTACGGACAGAGCCTCGCCTTAGGCAGCACTCCGCACGCCAGCTTGCGCAGCGTCTGCACCCCGTAGTGGCCCAGGTGCTCGCCGCATGGCTGGGCCAGCCCACGAAGAAACACGCGCCCAACGTGTCCGCACTTCAGGCAAGCAAGGGTCTTCAGGTCGGGCCAAAAGCCCAGCAGATGGGACGAGTGAATTTCCACCCCCTGCACGGTGATCTTGACCTGGCCCACCATCTGGACTCCTTGCAGGACGCCTTTTGTGGCATGGCGTGGCAAGAAAAGCCTCCAACCGCGGGCCGCTCGCGCTGCAGCCGCACCCCTTGCAATGGAAGCTCGAGCCCACACGGCCGCTCAGATCGTGCTCCGACAGCGCCAACTTCACCTTGAAGCCGCGGTGCCTGGCCCTCGTAGGCTTGATGCGGCGCGGCTCCGCCTCCGGAGCCTTCAGGAGCGCCATCGTGAGATGTGTGCGCACCGTGGTCCAAATCGCTTCGGCCATCTCCAAGCTGGTGACCGTGCTGGAAGGCACCTGGACCCGCGACGCCCAGTCGCCCGCCAGCTCATCCGCGATCTGGTTGGCAGCGTACCAATTCGGTGGCACGCCGCGCGCCTCCGCCACCTCCTAGTCCTAGTGGCTCTCGATCTTCACCACGGCCGTCGAGAGCAAGTGAGGCGCACCCTGCAGCGCCTCTTTGATCTTCTGCCACAAATCGATGTTCGTCCTCGGGAGGACGCACCGGACGATCTTCCCGAACCCCCTCACCACGTAGGAGTCAGTGACGTAGGTGATCCCCGCGCCCAGGCACTGCAGGTCCACCAGCGCAGCCAGGAGCGCCTGGGTCTCTCCGCGGTTGATCGTCTGCCTCGGTCCCGCCAGGCCGCCTCCATGCCCGAAGGGGGACGCAACCGAAGTGAGCTGGTGGACGCCGTCGACGTCGCCGAACTCGTAGTCAACAACCGCATAACCCCATCCAACGCGCCTCAGCTTTGCGTTGGCCGAGTGCTCTCCTCCACTAGCGTCGCCTCCAACCAGCAGCCACCCCCGCCCCTGCAGCGAGGCCGCGTCGCCATACTGGTCCCCCAGCGGGTCGTCGGGCGGCTCCTCGACGTGTGTCCACGACGCGGGGAGGATACCTCTGAGCCAAAGACATGGCAGCGCGTCCACGTCGCTGATGGCCCGCTCCTTGAGGTTCCTCGAGACTTTGCTGAAATCAGAGTTACACCTGCAAGTCCACGACCTGTGAAGATCGGTCTCCTCCTCCAAGCACCTGGGGCACACCATGGACATTGGGCCCTGCGTTATCGAGGACACGCGATGTCGAGTCCACGCTGCACCGGACATGACGGCCTCCATCGCGCCAGCACAATGATGCTGGCCCTTCTTCCGCAGAGCCTTGAGGTGCCGACAGGCACCCGAGAGGTCCGCGCCACCCTCCAAGCCCTTGCCGCGCCAGTGCTGCGCGGCCCTCTTCCACATGTAGCGCTGGATCGATGCGGAGAGCTCCGCCTTCAGGGCCCACATGTCCTGCGGGCCCTGGCCAATCATGGAGTCGGGCGCTCGCAGCTGGACCCCGTCGTCGACGGTCCAGTCCCAGGGCCCCGTCGGGGACCAGCCAAGGTCCAACAGGGTGGCGATCGTTGCGGTAACGATGCCCGTCACGCCCTTCCACCTCGAGGTTCGCTTTCGCCCCTCCAGCTTCTCCTTCGCCCTGGCCCACGTGATGCGGGCCAGCGCTAGGTCGAGCTTGGCCGAGAAGATCACCTGTATCCAGGACTCCACCACCTGGTGGACCATCTGCACCTGCGGGTCTTTGGCGCCCACCTTCAGCTGCAGTAACGTGGTCAAGCATCGCCCGGGCCACTTTTTTGCCACCGTCTGGGCTATAGCCCGGCGCCATCTCAGGATGACCGAAGGGGCCGTGCCGTACACCCTGTCGGAGTAGCCGCCCATGGGCAGGACCCCCATGAGCGCCACCTTGGTGGCGATCCGCCTCCGGACCGCGCCCCGGGCAAAGCCACGCCGCAGCTTGCGGCCTCCGCGTGTGTCGCCATCCTGAGGCCGAGGCTTGCTGGGGGAACGTGGCCGTCCCTCTCATTTTCTTGCGCCTGACCTGTGCCGCCTCCCTGGCCTCGGCTTCGGGCGGTGGGGTAGAGAATGGCCCTGCAGCGTACAAAATACGCCTCCGCCTCCGCAGCTGCATCCGCCTCCTCCTCCGCCTCCTCTTCCTCCTCCTCCCCTTCCTGTTGCTCCTCCTCCTCCTCCTCCTCCTCCTCCTCCTCCTCCTCCTGCTTCTTCTCCATCCTTCTCCTCCTCCTCCTCCTCCTCCTCCTCCTCCTCCTCCTCCTCCTCCTCCTCCTCCTCCTCCTCCTCCCTCCCCCTCCTCCTCCTCCTCCTCCTCCTCCTCCTCCTCCTCCTCCTCGTCCTGCTCTCCCTCCTCCTCCTCCTCCTCCTCCTCCATCATCATCATTCATCATCATCATCATCATCATCATCATCATCATCATCATCATCATCATCATCATCATCATCATCATCATCATCATCATCATCATCATCATCATCATCATCATCTCATCATCATCATCATCATCATCATAATCATCTTCATCATCATCATCATCATCATCATCAACATCATCATCATCAGCAGCAGCATCAGCATCATCATCATCATCATCATCATCATCATCAGCATCAGCATCATCATCATCAGCAGCATCATCATCATCAGCAGCATCAGCAGCATCATCAGCATCATCATCATCATCATCATCATCAGCAGCATTATCATCATCAGCATCAGCATCAGCATCAGCATCAGCATCATCATCGTCATCATCATCATCAGATCGGCATCATCATCATCATCAGCATCATCATTCTCATCAGCATCATCTTCATCATCAGCAGCAGCATCAGCATCAGCATCAGCATCAGCATCATCATCACCATCAGCATCATCATCAGCAACATCATCATCATCATCATCACCAGCATCATCATCATCATCATCATCATCATCATCATCATCATTCTCAGCATCATCAGCATCAGCATCGTCAGCATCATCATCAGCATCATCATCATCATCATCATCAGCATCAGCATCATCATCAGCATCATCATCATCAGTATCAGCATCAGCATCAGCATCAGCATCAGTATTATCATCATCGTCATCATCAGCAGCATCAGCATCATCATCATCATCATCAGCATCAGCATCATCACCATCATCATCATCACCATCATCAGCATCATCATCGTCGTCGTCGTCATCAGCATCATCATCATCATCATCATCATCATCAGCAGCAGCAGCAGCAGCAACAGCAGCAGCAGCATCATGATCATCATCATCATCACCAGCAGCAGCAGCATCATCATCAGCAGCAGCAGCATCATCATCATCAGCATCACCATCAACAGCACCACCATCACCAGTATCATCATCAGCAGCATCATCAGCAGCAACAGCATCATCATCAGCATCATCATCATCAGCATCATCAGCATCATCATCAGCATCATCAGCAGCATCACCATCAGCATCATCATCAGCATCATAATCATCACCACCACCATCATCATCATCAGCATCATCAGCATCGTCATCGTCATCATCATCATTATCATCATCATCAGCATCAGCATCATCATCATCCTCATCATCATCAGCAGCATCAGCATCATCAGCATCATCATCATCAGCCTCATCATCATCACCGTCGTCATCATCCTCCTTGTTTGCCGCCTCCTCCTCCTCATCATCTGCCTCATCCCCATCATCCTCATCCTCCTCCTCCGCCGCCGCCGCCCACGCCGCCACCGCCTCCGCATACGTCTCCGCATCCGCATCCGCCGCCTCCTCCTCCTCTTCCGCCTCCTCCGCCTACGTATCCCTGCTCCTTCCTCATCATCATCCCTTCTCCGCTCTCCTCTACCCTTCTCCTCCTCCGCCTCCTCCACCGCCTCCTCCTCCTCTGCTGCCTCCTCCTGATCCTGCTCCTGCTCATCCTCCTCCTCCTCCTCCTCTTCCTCCTCCTCTTCCTCCTCTAAAATCCTACTCCTTCTCCTCTTCCACCACCACCACCACCTCCTCCTCCTCCGCCTCCTCCTTCCTCCTCTTCCTCCTCCTCCTCCTCCTCATCCTCCCCCTCAACCTCCTCCACATCCTCCTCATCAGCGTCATCATCATCAGCATCATCAGCAGCAGCATCATCCTCATCATCGTCAGCAGCAGCATCATCATCAGCAGTAGCAGCATCAGCATCAGCAGCAGCAGCATCATCATCATCAGCATCATCATCATCAGCATCATCAGCAGCATCATCAGCATCAGCATCGTCACCATCACCATCATAATCATCAGCATCACCATAATCATCAGCCTCATCAGCATCACCAGCATCATCAGCATCATCATCATCGGCATCAGCATCAACAGCAACATCACCACCACAACCATCATCGTCATCATCATCAGCAGCAGCATCAGCATCATCATCATCATCGTCATCGTCGTCATCATCATCATCATCATCATCATCATCATCATCGTCATCAGCATCATCAGCAGCATCATCATCATCATCAGCAGCAGCATCAGCATCGTCGTCATCAGCATCAGCATCATCAGCAGCATCATCATAAGTATCAGCATCATCACCATCATCCGCAGCATCACCAGCGGCACAGTCATCATCATCAGCAGGATCATCATCAGCGTCGGCAGCAGACGCATCATCAGCATCGTCATCGTCGCCAGCATCATCACCATCATCATCATCATCATCATCATCATCATCATCACCATCAGCATAATCAACATCATCATCATCCTCATCATCATCATCATCATCATCATCATCATCATCATCATCATCATAATTTGCATCATCATAAGCAGCATCACCATCACCAGCATCGTCAGCATCATCATCATCGGCAACAGCATCAGTATCAGCATAATCATCGTCATCATCAGCAGCATCATCGTCATCATCATCAGCAGCAGCACCATCATCATCATTATCATCGTCAGCATCGTCATCATCATCATCAGCAGCATCATCATCATCATCATCATCATCATCAGCAGCATCATCATCATCATCATCATCATCATCATCATCATCATCATCATCATCATCATCATCATCATCATCATCATCATCATCATCATCATCATCATCATCATCGTCATGATCCTCTTCCTCCTCCTCCTCCCCCTCCTCCCTCTCCTCCCTCCTCCTCCACCTCCTTCTTCTTCACCTCCTCCTCCGCCTCTTTCTCCGCGTTTCGCCTGAGACTCCCTCACCATGTATGGCCCTGAAGCTTTAAACTTGGCAACAGCTTCACATATGGAGCGCGGCTGGGTTTCAAACTGTGTTCTCGACTTGCAGCTGCGAACATTCGCGTGAAAAGCGTGCAAGAGGTCCGCGGATTGAGGACAAGTGGTTTTCAGAATGTGGCTCTCGCTCTAGCGCCGCGCACCAGTCCGAATTACCCTGCGGCGTGCCAAACCCATCGGCACCAAGGGATGATATAAGGTGCGGTGGCAACAGTTTTACGCGTCGCAGCCCCAAGGGATGGCGAGGTGCCGTTTGGGACCGCGTGGGGCCCCAATGTGCTGGCTCCCTCAGCAGCCCTCGAAAAAGGCGACAGGTTCACACGTCGCAGCCCCCCAGCCAGGGATGGCGAGGTACCGTTTGGGTCCGCCTGGGGCCCCACTGTGCTGGCTGCCTCAGCAGCCCTCGAAAAAGGCGACAGTTTCACACCTCGCGGCCCCCAAGGGACGGCGAGGCCCCGTTTGGATCCGCGTGGGGTCCCTCTGTGCTGACTCCCCCAGCAGCCCTCGGAAGTAGCGACAATTTCACACTTCGCAGCCAGGGATGTCGAGATACCGTTTGGGTCCGCCTGGGGCCCCACTGTGATGGCTCCCACGGCAGCCCTCGAAAGTGGAGAAAATTTCACAATTCGTTTCACACTTCGCAACACCCCAGGGATGGCGAGGTCGCGTGTGGGTCCGCGTGGGGCCGCTCTGTGCTGGCTCCCTCAGCAGCCCTCGACAGTGGAGACAGTTTCACATTTCGCAGCCCCCAAGGCATGGCGAAGTCCCGTTTGGGTCCGCGTAGGGCCCCACTGTGCTGGCTCCTTCAGTAGCCCTGGAAAGTGTCGGAAGTTTCATACTTTGCAGTCCCCCAAGGATGGCGAGGTCTCGTTGGATCTGCGTGAAGCCCCACTGTGCTGTCTCCCCCAGGAGCCCTCGAAAGTGGAGAAAATTTCACACTTCGCAACCCCCCAGGGATGGCGAGGTCCCGTTTGGGTCCGCGTGGGGCCCCACTGTGCTGGCTCCCCCAGCAGACCTCGAAAGCGGCGACAGTTTCACACTTCGCAGCCCCAAAAGGGATGCAAGAGGAGAGAGCCGAGAGGAGAGCAGGGGGGAGGAGGAGAAGGAGAAGGGAGCCGGCGACCCCACTGCTCTGTTCAAAACGAGAACCCAACCAAGGGAGGGTTGGGGGAAAAATGTAAAAACTTCTCAGATTGAGGGCAGCTCGTTTTCAAAATCTGGCTCTCGCCTTAGTGCCGCGCTCATTCGTTTAAGCAAAAAGCTGAAGGAGTTTGACGGATTGAGGGCGGTTCCTTTTCAATATGTAGCTCTCACCTTAGCGCCGCATACTTTATTTTCAAACAATTACAAGAGTTCCACGGGTTCTCACAACAAACCAAACATGGCATTCTGGAACGATTCAGGACTGTCTGGGCGCCACAGTTACGTTGATTCGCGGTGCTGGAGTCCCAGGAATGGTGCTGTGGCACGATTCAGGATCGTCAAGACGCAACAGTCAGGTGACCCATGGCGTTGAAGTCCTGAGAATGGTGATTTTGTTTACACGGTTGTCTTCCAACGGAGCACTTGGAGGGAGCTTCGAGGGGAGGGTGTCTCCCAACATCGCTGATGAGTCTTGGGTTTACACTGTTCCGCCACACCCTGGCGTCGCTGTTTTTCGGCGCCCTGGTAGATACACTTGACTCGAGCTGCTCAGGGAGGCGTGGTGGAACTCCTCGCGGGGGGTGGGGGGGGCCTGTTGGTGGTGTGGATGCCGTTTTCCGACTGGCCATGCAGATCCTCGACCTCCCGGCAAGCAAGCTCCCTTCAGGATCCTCTCAAATGGCGGGGGCTTGGGGCGAAGACACTTATAAAGCAGGCAGGCCCACTTGCGCAGTGGGCCAAGGCAGGTTCTCGGCACTACGATGCCATGCGATTCAAAACAATTAAAAAGTGGCCGCTAGACGTCTCTGGAGAGCGAGATGGGGAGGTGAAAGTTCCGCCAATCAGGAACGATCCAGGTAATTAATGGACGCCGTGGTACTTCTCAGGATTCCTAGCACGAAGAGCGGCAGCCGTTGCTGAGCTGCAAAAATTTGGGCGGCACGACAAATGATAATTCCAGGTGCTCGGAACGCACATTCAAATGCGACCCTGGCGATTTCGACGATCCTCAGAACGTGAGCTCGCGCCAACGTGCGCTTGTCTACCGAGACCCTGCGCCAAAAAGTTGTTATGCCTCCGGGCCGAGCCAAGACATCCACGCGGAGCTCCACAAAGTCGACGCTGATGCCGCATAAGCATAGTCTTGAACAAAATGCCCCTCCTTCCCGTAAGGGTGCGGAGCAGGCCGAGACACGGCACTCACCACGAGGGAGAGAAGGCAGCGAGCACCACGTCGCACTTGGCGTTGGCCTCCAGGGTACGCGAGCACCCCTCCGAGCTCACGCCCCAAAGCCGCGCGAGGCCGTCCCTGGAGGCAGTGACCACGGCCTGACCGTCCGGGGAAAACGCGGCACAGTCCACCTCGTGCGGGGACTTCTGGAGCGTGCGCAGGCACCTCCCTGAGTCGGCGGCCCAGATCTTCGCGCTCCCGCTCGTGGAGGCCGTGACCACTGCCCCACCGTCGGGCGAGAACTGAGCGGACGTCATCATGGAGCGTCTGTCCTCCCGCAGTGTGCGCAGGCACCTGCCAGAGCTTGTGCTCCAGATCTTCGCCGTGCCGTCTCCAGAGGCAGTGACTGCGGCCTGACCGTTCGGAGAGAGCGCGACTGACTTCACGAAGGCACTGTGTCCAAGGAGCGTCCACAAGCACTGGCCCGAGCTGGAGGACCATATTTTCGCCGTACCGTCGACGGAGGCGGTGGCAAGCATGCAGCCGTCAGCGGAGAAGACGGGCGAGCTCACAGATCCCCGATGGCCCTGCAGCGTGTGCAGACACTCGGCCGAGCTGGTGGCCCATATCTTTGCTGTTCCATCTCTGGAGGTGGTGGCGATGACCTGGCCATCCGGGGAGAAGATGGCGGAGACCACGGCCGAGGCATGGCCCTGCAGCGTCTGCAGGCAGTCGCCTGTGCAAGAGCTCCAGACCTTAGCCGTGGCATCCGCGGACGATGTGGCAACCGCTTGGCCATCAGGAGAGAACGCGATGGAGTACACAGAACAGCTGTGGCCCTGCAGTGTCCCCAGACACTCGCCTGTCCCTGCGCTCCACAACTTGGCCGAACCGTCGAGAGAGGCAGTGGCCAACATGATGCCATCCGGAGAGAATGTGACCGAGTACACCCCTTTCTCGTGGCCCTTCAACACGCGCAAGCATTTGCCCGAGGCAGTGTCCCAGATCTTGACCACCCCTGTCATGGCCATGGTAACAACTGGCGGCAGCTGGGAAGCCACGAGAGTCAGCCTGTCGCCGTCGGCCACTCCGAGGTCACCCAGGGTGGCCTGCTGGAGGCCTCCCGAACGGGACCAGAGTGGATCGGCCCCACGATCGCGCCGCCTCGACAAGCAACCGGCGACGCAACGGCGACGTCCGCACAGAGCGTGGCCTCCGTCGCCTGCTAAGGGGGGTCAGACTTCTGGGGGTCAGAATCAGTGACGGGCAAACTAAGGAAAACTCATCTCTGAAAGAATGCCTGCCTGGACGAACAGGAGCTGCCAAGAAAAAAACCATGCGAGACACATCTGTTGAAACAGATGCCCGAACAAGGAAGATCGAAGGAGCTGAGCTAACCTTCTCCTGACCCCCGAAAGGCTGACCCAAAGCAGCAGGCGGAGGAAGGCCAGGCTCCAGATCGCGCCGCATCCCCGATGCCCCAGCGATGCGGCACCAGCTCGGGCCCCCGATCGCTCCGGCCCCGTTCAGGAGGCCCGGGCCTGCCCGGCCAGCTCGGCGCTTCCTGGGGGGAACACGTGTCGGCGGCGCGCCCGGGGGGGCAAAGCCCTGAGATCCCGGGCGTGGCAACCCTTTCACACCTGGCATGTCCGCCCAGTTTCGGGCCCCGGGACCATGACATATCGATCCGGTTCGGAAAATGCTGCCCAGGGCCTCAGTCGTCATTGTCTGCGGTGTGGCAATTTTTTGGCAACGTCGGGTCTCAGGGTAAGAGGGGGCACGCCTGCTCAAAGGCGGCGGGGCTTCTCAGAGCCCTTGAACCTTTGCAGAATCGGTCTCTGTTTTCCGGAAAGGCTTAGAAAACTTATCAGAAAGCAGGCCTTCTAAGCCTTCTGAGAAGTTCCGCCCCCTTCGCATTCTCCACTAGGCTCGCTGCTGAACGTGTTACCGATACCGATATGCGAATTCTGACCAGGACTTCGAGGAAAGTTCAGCCGTGGCGACGAGGGTCCCCCCAGGGGCTCGAGTAAAAATGCGGCAACAAAAAGATGGTGTGCTGGTATCGTTATGCGTTTCTCCCCTAAGCTCCAAAGAAGACGCGGTCGCAGAGGCAAGGGACGCTGGCGTCACGCCAGGGAGCGCGCACTAGTATGTCCTGGAGCACGGTTTGTTTATTCGCGATAACGCCCATGACCGGCCCCGCCGCCCCCCCCCTGGTCACGTCACGATTCACGCCAGCGCCATGTGGGAATTATGTAGCCATTCCTAAGCATTCCCAGACGGCGTCGGTGCAAATCGTGACGTGACTGACCACAGACCCCCTCCCCCCCATCCCCCTCTCCCCCCCCCCTCGGTCGAGCCCGCTATCACCAGGGGATATAAACAAACTGTCTCCTGCAGCACCCACTCGGGGGAGGCCGAGATCACTGCCTCGCGGCCGCCGAGCCCAAGTCCAACGGAGATGATCATCGGGGCACGAGGGCACAAGCGGAAGGATTCACAGAACCATGCTGGCAAGCACAGCCTGGCCACCCAAAACTTGCGAGCCAACACGGCGATGAACGCGCAAGTTGATGAGGCGGAGAAGGGGCCGAGGTGGCCAGTTGGCCCCCCGACGTCCGTGTCTCACCGAACTTCCTCCTCACCCGCTTCATCCCGCCCGCCCATCCCTCGCTCTTGGTATTGCTCCTGCCCACTTGACTACTCACCAGACCACCCCAACCTAACACGAAGACCCACATTTCGGGTTGGGGGGGTACGGGTTCCACATGTGTTTTTGTAAATGTTCCCCGACGCCCCCCCAGTGGGAACGGAGGGCAAATTGGGGCCTTCGGGTTGGGTCAGGGTGGTTTGGTGGGTGGTGACCACTTTCCTCACTGGGGCGTCATCGGATCAGGGTGAGCTCAACGCCTCAAGATGGTCAGCACGTTTCGAGAAGGCCTCCACGGCTGACCCGAGGAGGCCTCTGATGAGCAGGCCTCCGCGTCGGCCCTGCGAAAACTGATTCCGCCCTCCAAAAGAAGAAGAGACACGTGAAAGTGGCACAGCGGACGTCGCCCCCCCTTGGTTTCTGTACAAGCACACGCTCCCATACAGCGAGCAAGCCAGTGCAGGGACAAAATCGGACCCGGGCAGGTCGGCGATCACAGAGATCCACTGGTTCTGGAGATCGGATCGGGCGCCGCGGCCATTCCGGAGCGCTGCAAAATGCTCCGAGAGCGCTCCGGGTACAAACATAAGTTCCTCGAGGTCCGTGCGGATCTCTTGGATCGGCGCTGGACCCCCGGAGCGCGCAAGGGGCGGAGCCGGGAGGGGGGGCCGGGGGGCCCAGCGCCGATCCGAGAAATCCGCGCGGAGCTCCGCGAAACTCCCCAAACAGTGGGGGTTCTCACTCCTCTTCTACTGAGCTGGGCCCCAGTGTGGCCCCGGCGGCCCCGCTCCCACCCATCGCCGCCCCCTTTTTCCCAATGCAGTGCGCGTGTGCGGCCCCTGCGGCCTCGTTCCCGCTCGTCGCCGCCGACCCGTTGCACCCCCCCCTCCCCCCGTTGCACCCCCCCCCTCCCCCCCGTTGCATTGCATTGCGTTACTTTGCTATGCTTTGCATTGCATTGCATTGCATTGCATTGCATGGCATGTCATGGCACTGCATTGCATTGCATTGCATGGCACTGCATTGCATGGCATTGCATCGCATAGCGTTACATTGCTTTGCATTGCGTCGCATAACTTTACATTGTTTTGCATTGCGCCGCATAGCTTTGCATCGCATTAATTGCTTTGCGTCGTGTTGCATTGATGTGCGTTGATTTGCCTTAATTTGCGCTGCATTGCTTTGCATTGCTTGGCATTGCGTTGCATGTCTTTGCATAGCTGCATTGCCTCGCATTGCCTCGCACTGCGTTGCATTGCCTCACATTGCCTCGCATTGCGTTGCAACGCGTTGCATTGATTTGCAACGCTTTGTATTGCCTTGCCTTGCCTTGCTTTGCATTGCGCTGCATTGCGTTACATTACATTGCATTGCCTTCGCACTTGCTTCGCATTGCTTGATTGGTATTGTTTTAGTTTGATTTGCATTGTGCATTGGTTTGCATTGCGTTGCATTGCGGTGCATTGTTTGCATTGCGTTGCTGCACATAGGTTGCACCACACGGACTGCAACACCTAGATTGCACTGCTTAGATTGCAGGAGATGACTCGTTGGGGTCCACACTGGCTAACACTATGTTTATGACCACTCATGTTCTTCGAAGATTGTCCTGCGACCGCCCGACATGCCTCCCTGGTCCAAGGCTGCTCTCCTGGTATCCGGCTCTGGATGGGCCGCCGGGGACATGCAAAGCGTCCAAGACTTCGACTCGGGCCTGGCCGAGTCCACGAAGGCGCCCCAGAAACTAGAAGGCCCAAGAAGGTTGAAGATCGCCCGACGACGACGAGCGCGACGACTCATCCCCCTTGATCATCGCAGACGACGACCCCATCGCCCACCGACGACGAGAATCTCCGACGTCGCGGCGTCACGAAAGCGAAGATGTCAGCTGACCTCTGCCGAAGACAACGACGACGACGACGAAATCGTCGACGACGACGACGACGACGACGCCGCCCTGCGCCGGCCCGGGCGCCTCCTCGTCCTCCGCGCCCGCCTCCGCCCGCGCCACGTCCTCCAGCGCCGCGGCGAAGGGGCGGCGCGCGCGGCGGGCCGCCCGAGGCCGTTTCCAAGCTCGCTCGCCGCGCAGACACAGCCCGCCGCCCGCCTTGACAACAAGAGAAAAAAACAAAAATCATCGACGTCATCTGTACCGCCTCCCTCCGCGCCCCCACCCCCTCCTTCACGGCGCCCCCCCTGCCACACCTCTCCAGTCATCGGAGGTCTCCAGGAAGAGGAGGGAGGAGGGAGGAGAAGCGGGAGGTCGTCAGAGACCTCCAGGGGAAGGTAGGCGGGAAAGGAGTGCGGAAATTATCGGAGGCCTCCAGGAGTGCAGGCAGGAGCGAGGAGTAGGAGGGAGAAGGGGGGAGGTGGGAGAAGGAGAGAGGAAGGATAATGTTTTCAGAGCAAAGGTGTGGGGCTGTTCTCATGGGCTGCACGGGGGATCTGGGGTGCTCTGGGGGATCATCTTCCCAAGGGAGAGGTGACTTCCTCCTCCCCCTCCTCCTCCTCGCCCTCCTCCTTCTTCCCCCCTCCGCGCCTCACCCTGCCTCCTCCGGTTCGTGCCGTCGCCTTCCCGATCCGTGCCGCAGATCTGATCCGGTATTCGCGAGGCCGTGGAGGCCCCGAGCGCTCGACTTGAGCGTGCAGTCACCCTTCTGCCCCGCCTTTCTCCGTCCTTCGCATCCCGCCGCCTCCTCCTCCCCTCCTTCGCTCGCCGCCCAGGTCAGATGGCGTGCTCGGGCCGAATTCGTGCATGGTGGGCCGTGCACAAATCCTCATACCCCTCCCCCACTCCTTCCTCCCTCCGTCCTGCCCTGCCTTCCTCCACACTCCTGCCACCCTTGACCATGCCCTCCCCTCCTCCCCTCCTCCCTCCTCTTTCATCCTCCGGCATTATTATAATTACTCATCCACGGCTGTGTTCAACTTCGGCCTCCTTCACCGCATCATCCTCGTCATGATCATTTTCCTCAGCGGCGGCGGCCACTTTAGCACCACCTCTATCCCCGTCACCATCACCATCACCACAATCATCACCGTCATCATCGTTAGTATCAGCATCGGCACCATAACCATCACCATCAGCAGCAGCAGCAGCATCATCACCACCACCACCACCACCACCACCACCACCACCATCATCATCATCATCATCATCATCATCATCATCATCATCATCATCAGCATCATCATCATCATCATCATACACATCATCATCATCATCATCATCATCATCATCATCATCATCATCATCATCATCATCATCTTAATCGTCATCATCATCAACATAATCAGAATCATCATCATCGTCATCATCATCATGAGCATCATCACCATCACCATCACCATCACCATCACCATCATCATCAGCATCAGCATCATCATCATCAGCATCATCATCATCATCACCATCATCATCATAATCGTCATCATCATCAACGTAATCAGAAACATCACCATCACCATCACCATCACCATCACCATCACCATCATCATCATCATCATCATCATCATCATCATCATCGTCATGAGTATCGTCGTCATCATCATCAGCATCAGTACCATCATCATCACATAGATAATCAGCAGCAGTAGCATCAGCTTCAGCATCATCAGCATTCGCATTATAATCGTCGTCATCGGTATCATCAGCAACAGCCGTATCATCAGCATTACCACCACCACAACTACCACCACAACCACAATCGTCATCATCAGAATCACCATCATCAGGATCATCATCATGAGCATCATCATCATCAGCATCATCGTCATCAGCATCAGCATCAGCATCAGCATCATCATCATCATCCTCATCATCACCATCATCATCATCATCATCATCAGCATCAACATCATCAGCATAAGCATCATCATAGTCATCAGCATCATCATCAACAGCATCATCGTCGTCAGCATCGGCATCATCATTATCATCATCATCATCATCATTATCATCATCATCATCATCAGCATCAGCATCATCATCATCATCATCATCGTCATCAGAATCATCATCGTCGTCATCACCGACATCATCAGCATCAGGATCATCATCCTCAACATCATCAGCATCAGCATCAGCAGCAACAGCATTAGCATCATGATCATCAGCATCACCATGAGCATCACAATCATCATCGTCATCATCAGCAGCAGCATCATCAGCATCCTCACCATCGCCAGCATCATCATCATCACCATCACTACCATCATCATCATCATCACCATCATCATCATTATCAACATCATCATCATCGTCATCATCATCATCGCCAGCATCGTCAGATTCATCATCATCAGCATCATCAACAACATCGCCATCGTCGTTGTCTTTGTCGTCGTCATTATCCTCATCGTCATATACCTCATCATCGCCATCATCAGCAGAAGCATCATCATCACTAGCATCATCATTATCAGTGTCAGCATCGTCAGAAAAAAAAGCATCCCCAACATAATCGTGACCCCGTCACCATCATCGGTACCCCGTCACCATCATCACCATCATCATCATCATCATCATCAACATCATCAAAGACGTGACCATACCATCTACATCACCATCATCATCGTCAGCATCATGATCATCCGTTGCGTCTCCAGGTGCAGACTGATATGCATACGCAGATTCATAAGTATCGGCATCCTCCCCATCCCCCTGATCATTCCTCCTCGCTCGTCACTCATTGTCCCCCTGTCTCCCTCCAGCTCGTTGTTCCCCCTGGTGGTAATCGTGGTCCTCATCGTGGACCTCCCTCCTCTTATCCCCTCCTCCCCCACCCTTCTCATAACCCACCTCCTTATCATCCTCCGGTTCTCCTCCTCATCCTCTTCCTTTTCCTCCTCCTCCTCCTCCTTCTCCCTCCCTCCCTCTCTTCCTTCCTCCATCCCTCCCTCCTCGTCCTCCCTCATCATTCCTCGTCTTCTCGTCCGTGCGGTCACGCTGGGGGGTGGCAGGGGGGAGGTGGGAGGAGGGAGGACGGAAGTGGAAGAGGAGGAGGAGGACCAGGACGAGGGATGATGAGTAGGGAGCAACGAACTGACTGACTCACCGAACCTGCATCGATGATGACTTCCGACCTTGCCAGTTCTCAAGCACCGCAAGGCCTGGTGATGAAAAAACGTCGTACCTGCTCGGAGATAGAAGCGGCAACCAAGGGGGGGGGCTTGTGCACTGACGGGAACGCTGGGTCAAAGCTGGCCCTGCACGCTGGACCGACACGGCTCTGGTAGAGCCACCTGGGCACATGGGTGCATTATCTCGGACTGCGGCCCACGGCTTCCTCGTGCGAAATTCCCCTACGAGGTGCAGCTAGTCGAAGCCTCCACGAGGTCTATGGAGTGAAGGGAACGGAAAGGGAAGGCGGCTCAAGAGCAGGGGAAGGGGGGAGAATGGCTCCCCTGCTAGACCTCCGCTATACTGGCTGGCACTGTTGATGGGCATTCTACCTGCCACGCAGGCAAGTGAATAGTCTGTTCACTTGCCTGCACGGATCTGGTGGGCGAGCCCTCCTACAGGCGCCATCCTTGGCATGATTGTTATCCCTGCTGCCCGCATGGAAAGAGAAAAGAGGCGCGCCACGGCCACGTACACGAATTTGCAGTCCATGCCTGACACCTGAGAGTAAGCCCTGATCATTTCCAGCTCGTCTACCCGCGCGGTGTTATGACCTACTGGCCAGTGGCCCTCCACCGAAGTAGTGATTACGCTGAACGGCCGTGCCACTGTCTTCGTATGGTTGTCGCTCACCCTGCACGTGCGGAGGCGGCGAACTGCGCGGAACAGGCACTTGATCTCGTTTGGCTTGACTTTGGCGCTGGTGCCTGCGAGTGACTTGGGCATGCTGGCGAAGGCGTGCACATGTGGATTGCCGACCTACTGCCTGCTGTCTCGCTCGCTTATGTTTTGAGTTTGTTTTCCTAATATGACTGTTCGTGTTAGAACTATTCGCATGATGTTTCGTCTTCGTCTTGGTAATACTATCATGAGCATTCGTAATACTATTACGTATGGTGTTCGCCTTCTTCTACGGCAGGTTCGCGTCGTGTCGACCCCGGCGTTGGTTTCTGACACCGCGGGGATCGTTCAACCTTGAACGATCGGCCGTTTCCGAAACGTCCAAATCGTTCCACATCGAACGATTCTGGGTCGCCCGCGGCGTTCAAGGTTGAACGCCGCTGGCGGGGTCGCCGCCGGTCGACACGACACGAACCTACCGTAGGTATCCTTATTACGAATACGATTAGTATAATGGCTCGGCACAGTTGCCTGTGACCTCTTTCGTGCTCATAACCACAGAATGGCCCCTAAGGGCCTTGAAATGCACGCCGTTCGCCTTCGCTTCCGGGTTGCAAGGTCAAATGCTTCTTCTGGCTCTACGTGTCGGATTTGTCCTTCCTGCCTCGGGTCTGTTCTGCCTGCGCCTGCGCCTGCGGTTCGTTATCCTGCACTTTACCCAGCCACTTCGACAACGAGGGAGGGAATGTGTGCATCCAACTATTCACGAACGTGCGATCAAGCAGAATGCTGTTCAGGCAATGCGGAACCAAAAAACCTCTGAGTGCGCACTCTGTAATGTGCACCACGCGCGCTAAAATCGTAGAGCGAGAGTATGTAATGTATGTAATGCATCTTCCGCCTCCGAGAACAGCAGCCAAGTCCCACTGTGCAGCCTCTCTGTCAGCAAACGTGTTGGCTGTTGCACAGCACTCGGTTGCTAGCAGGGGACCTCTATCACTGCCTACCACCTTGGCACAGTTTATCTGCATGTGTGCTCTGACAACCCTACTGTTCGAGAAATCTCCGGCTTCCGACTGCGCAAACATCCGTGCGCCCCTCAGGAGGGCCGGGGGCATTCGGGCTCTGGCTGCCCTAATCTTGGGGGAATAGATGCACAGCCAGCTCCTTGGACCTGAGCTGGGCGACGTCGACGTCCTTGAATATCTCTCGAGCCTCACCCGGGCAAAGTTTTAGACGCTTGCCTTCCAGTTGCGACTCCTGTTGTCATCCGTCCTCGAGTTCAAGCAGCGCTTGCATTTCACACCATAAACGCTTGGTCCACGCCAGGGCGGCGGGAAGAACCTCGCCATCATTCGAAACGTTTGCCTCGCACTGTGCCTGGCCATCGGAGCAGCGATGGCCCGACGAAGATCGCGCTCTTTGACAGAGACGTCTCGCAGCTACCCCAAGCTCCGAATCGTGAGTTCGACGAGAAAGCTGCCAAACTTCATGATAGGATGAACCTGACTGCTACTCGGTGTTAGTACTTTATGCGAATGTTGTTTTTGTCATGTGCTTGCGGCACAGAGCTACTCGCGCAGACTTGAAAAGCATCTGCTGCAAAGGCTCAAGGGCCCCATTCGCCTGCCTTGGGGGGGGGGACTTAGGGTGCTCAAAGAATTGCCCCCCTACCCCCCCCCGGCCATCGCGCCGCCCCTCGTGGTAGTCGGATCCCCCCCGCGCTGCCCCACCAGCAGCGGCGCGCCCTCAGCTCCTCGCGCCGACGGCAGCCCCCCAACGGGGGCTCGCAGGGCTCGGGGGGCCCGCGGGCCTCACGAATGCCACATCCTCCACTGCGCCGCCAGGCACACAATCATCGCCAAAGAGACCTTCGCAGAAATCTGAAGACTGCTCGTCAAAAAGACGCCTCTCTTCCTGCTGCATAAGAAATAGCGGAATTCCGGCGCGAGGTATCTCAGCACGGGCGCTGCGCGACTGCAAGGAGCTGTCGGGGATCGCTGAAGAGAGGCAGAGAGACCAGACGACCAGCAGCCGCGCGCAGGCCCTCCAGATCGGCAGGCAACATGTCAGCCACGCCCGAAGGGTAGAGCGCCTCCAGGGACGCGCGCAACCCCTCCTCCTAGGCGTCAGCAACGATGGAGCCCTATGGCACGAGCTCAACTGCAGCGCCCGCCTCGGCCGCGGCAGCGGGAGTGGCAGGCGCCTCTCCCCCTCCAGCCGCGGGCGTCTTCGGCGCAACGGTAGCGCGCGTCTCCTCGGGCTCGGCGACCATCTTCGACTCCGACTGCACGAACTGCCCCATGCTAGACGCCAACGCTCGCGCCAATACAGGCGCCCGTTCGGGACCCAGACCATGCCGTGCCAGCATATTGCCCAGGGCCTGCGCGTCAACCTACATATGCTTGCAATTCGCCTGTAGATATGTTTCCGCAGTGGCTGCAGGTGCCTGTCTCGCAAGCTCCTGCACCTGCGCACTGAGGACATCCACCTCGTACCCCTGCTCACGTAGGCCCTTCTCGGGCTGCCCCAGGCTCTTCTGGACCTCCAGTAACTGTTCCTTCCTTGTTGCCACCAGCTCTCGTGATGCCGCGGCCCTCTTCTCTGCCGAATTGAGCCGATTGGACATCGCCTGCAACTTCGCAAACATCGGGCGGGGCTCCTGCAGCTCGGCATGGACGGGCCCCTCCCCGGCGCGCAGCGCCTCCACGAAAGCACCCGCCTTGGCACCTCCCGAATGCATGGGCGCGAAGGCCAGCTGCTCCTCGACCCCCATTGAGTCTTCGACGCGGCTCGGCCTCGCCCTCCTCGGCGCCACCATCGACCAACATGGCATCGCCGAGCGAAGCGCCGCCACGGGGAGCCTGCGACTGCAGCGCGCGGACTTGAGCTTCAAGCTCACGACTGCGCTTGGCCTGCACTGCTCGGTGCGGGGGGGCGGCTCCGAGGGCGCGACGTTGCCCCCGAACGCCACACCTTTGGCCAGCCCACATAGCACGCACTTCTTCGCGCGCGCCATGTTCCACCATTGTTCACCCATGCGAGAATTATTACAGGTCTTGCAGAGCCACTTGCAAACTGTCTGCCCCCGCGCCCCCGCGACGTGTCCGCGCGGCGCTGGACCTTCTCACCTGCGGGCGCAGGACGCAAACGAAGCCCAGGGCGGACCAGGCGACGTAAGAAGATGACAGCTAGCCGCGGCGACAGCGGCATCCGTTTTGGCCCGAAGGCCGAAAACCCCCCCCGCGCGAGGTCTCGAGCCAAAATGGCTACGGAGGGGGACAAGCTAGGCGCGCTCGCGTCATATCTGACGTCCTACCCCTCCCTCCCATCCCTTACCATGGCGCTGATTTTCTCTATCCGCGGACGCGTGTCGTAGCGGACCTGTGGCTCCGCGCGCGCGTGCGTAGTGGGTGGTGGTGCGCGTGCGTGCGTGCGTGCGTGTGTGCGTGGTTGTGGTGGTGGTGGTGGTGGTGATGGTGGTGGTGGTGGTGCTGGTGGTGGTGCTGGTGGTGGTGGCGGTGGTTGTGGTGGTGGTGGTGGTGGTGGTGGTGGTGGCGGTGGTGGTGGCGGTGGTGCGGCGCGGTGGTGGCGGGCGGATGGGCGCGCGAGAAAGAGGCCCGCGCTGGGGCGAGAACGCCATCCTGAACGACGGAGGCCAAACACCGATCCGAAAATGAGGCCCACGCTGCAGCGGGAGCACAATTCGGAACGATTCGGGAGCAGAAATGAGGCCGGCGCCTCAGCGAGAGCAGCTTTTATATATTATCAGTTTTTAAAATACTATTGTTTATCAAAAAATATATACAAAACATAACCCCCCCCAAAAAAAAACAAAATTACTCACTGCGTGGAGCTCCCCATATGCGCATCCTTTTTTAAAGGTAATATTGTATATGGGCCTACAGGAACACACGTAAAACACCAAGGACTCGTGCCCCAGGAGAGGCCCAATATATAGGAACAAAAGTAAAACAAGTAGGATTGCTTACACAGGAGAAGGACAATATATAGAAACATACGTATAACATCAAGGAATCGTATTCCAGGTGAGGCCCAATCGATAGGAGCATACGTAAAACACATGGGATTGGAGCCACTCCTGTTGCCTTCTGAGGCCTCCTGCTCCTGGGGCCTCTCGGGGCCTCCTGTTGCCTTCCGAGGCCTCCTGGCGCCTCCTGTGGCCTCCTGGGGCCTCCTGTGGCTTCCTGAGGCCTTCTAGAGCTTCCTGGGGCCTCCTGGGCCCTCTTGGGACGTCCTGTGGCCTCTTGAGTCTTTCTGTGGCCTCCTGATGCCTCCTGGGACCTCATGTGGTCTCCTGGGGCCTCCTGGAGCCTGTTGGAGCCTCCTGTGGCACCCTGAGAAGAATCTGCGCCCACGAGCCTGGCCACCAAAACAGGCAAACCGATCGAGACATCCTCAAAATCTGGCCCACCTGGGGTGTGAAAATGAGCGTCTCGCTCGAAACATCCTCCAAATCTGCTCCGAAAGCGAATGATGTTGAGCCCAGAAACAAGCAAACCGCCTGAGACATCCCCACAAAATGGCCGCGAACGAGCCCGTGCAACCACCCCTGGCGGCTCCCCTGAGGGGTGCTGAAACCAGCGCCCCGCCTGAGACATCCTCACAATCTGCTCTCCAAGCGAAGGATGTTGAGCCCAGAAACAGGCAAACCGCCTGAGACATCCCCACAAAATGGCCGCGAACGAGCCCGTGCAACCACCCCTGGCGGCTCCCCTTAGGGGTGCTGAAACCAGCGCCCCGCCTGAGACATCCTCACAATCTGCTCTCCAAGCGAAGGATGTTGAGCCCAGAAACAAGCAAACCGCCTGAGACATCGCCACAAAATGGCCGCGAACGAGCCCGTGCAACCACCCCTTGCGGCTCCTTAGGGGTGCTGAAACCAGCGCCCCGCCTGAGACATAAACAAGCAAACCGCCTGAGACATCCCCACAACATGGCCGCGAACGAGCCCGTGCAACCACCCCTGGCGGCTCCCCTTAGGGGTGCTGAAACCAGCGCCCCGCTTGAGACATCCTCCAAATCTGATGTGTGTTGAGTAAGTCTGAGTATGAGTAGGTCTGAATATGAGTATGCCTGAGTATGAGTAATAAGTCTGTGTATGAGTAATTTTGTGTATGCGTAAGTCTGGGTATGAGTAGGTCTGTGTATGAGAAAGTCTGTGTATGTGTACGTCTGGGTATGAGTAAGTCTGAGTATGAGTAATACTGTGTATGAGTAAGTCTGGTATGAGTATGTCTGTGTATGAATACGTCTGGGTGTGAGTAAGTCTGTGGCGGTGGTGCGGCGCGGTGGTGGCGGGCGGATGGGCGCGCGAGAAAGAGGCCCGCGCTGGGGCGAGAACGCCATCCTGAACGACGGAGGCCAAACACCGATCCGAAAATGAGGCCCACGCTGCAGCGGGAGCACGATTCGGAACGATTCGGGAGCAGAAATGAGGCCGGCGCCTCAGCGAGAGCAGCTTTTATATGTTACCAGCTTTTGTTTTATATTATTGTTCAACAAAAAATATATACAAAACATATACCCCCCACAACAAAAAAAAGGCGACAATCCACCTCCCGGGAATCCTGTGTAAAAAACAATACGCGGGGGGGGGTCCAATACCATCAGGTCGCCATCGGGGGGAGAGGAAGAGTAGTATTCATATTGAGTAATCGTAGAAGAGGAAGAGGAGGGGGCTAGACTCGACCGAAAAAGGTCACGCAGGACGAATACGACCTTCGGGGCCGCCCAGGCGACTGGCCCACACACCCGCGCGCAGCAACTGCACGCGGGCACCCAGATCAGAAGCATGGGTGGCCCACAGGACCCTGGCCCGCATGGGCCCTCTGCCTCGACGCAAGGGTTTCGGCTCGGGCCGCTAGGGCTCTCGAGCCCAGCCCGGCCGAACCAGCCCGCGACCTGCCCTCGGGGCCTTCATCGGGCGGGGGCCACGGCAGCGCCGCAGCCGCCGCATCTCTGCTGTCCCTGGCGTCTGCCTCGACGCCGAACTCTAGCTCCAAGCACGTCGGCGCCCGCTGGGTCTGGACCGCGGGCCGTTTCCAGCAGCCTCGCAGCACGAACGCAACCGCCGCGCGGGGGCCGCCGGGCGCCGCGGGGACGACAAGAATTCGCACTTAGTGTCGTCGCAGGTGGCCGACGACGGCGACGCCGACCAGCTCAGGCCAGCCCGAGTCGGCGAGCCCGCCGGCCTCGACGTTCCAGTCGCGGCCGATGATAAAGGGCTCGCCCAGGTGGGCGCACCGCTCGCGGAGGTCCTCGGGGAGCTGGCGGTTGGCCCCTCTGAGCACGACGCCGCCTTCCAGGTAGATGGAGTCCGCGGCGACGGCGGCGACCGCTCCCGGGGACAGCCTGCGGGCGATCACCCCGCGCCGCGCGCCCGCCCGCGGCCGACGGTGTCGGGCCGAGCCCGGCAAGCGAGAGGAGATGATGCCCACTCCTGATGACGCCGCCGTGCCCGCCCCCCCCCCGTCCTGAGGGCTCTCGAGCAGGCTAGCTGCTGGCCGCTCCGCCTAGCCTGGCCGCGGGCACGCCCCTCCGCCGCGGGAGAAGAGGAGCGCGTCTCCTGGACGAGCTCGCTGCGCGGCTCGAGCCCTGTCTTGCGCGCCCACTTGTGGACGCTGGCGGCCGAGTTCCACGCGCCGCAGTTCCACGCGCAGAGGCGGTGGTCTTCATCTAGCTTGCATGGAGCCAGCACCTTCGGCCCGTGGTCGGGTAAAAGCTGGGCCAACTGCGCCGAGTCCGCAGCCTGGCCCGGCTGCGCTGGTCCGCCGGTCCGCCCGCGATGTTGGCGAAGAGGAAGGAACCCTCCTTGCGTTGTCCGCGCTGTCCGCGCCCGCCCTCTGGCGAGCGCCGCCGGGGCCGCCGAGGGGGAGGCCGCGGCGCCCCGACGAGCGGGCGCGCGCTCACACCGATTTCTGCGCCCCCGTTGGCCACGACGGGCCCATGAGACTGGTCGCCCCGCACGAGCGCGCCCGCTGCGTCAGGCTCAAACAGCCGCAGCACCCCGTGATGGGAGATCTTCAGGTGGCCGGACTTCATGATGTAGTAGGTCGGGGTCTTGGCCGAGGTCCACGAAAGGGTCGCCTTCCTCCTCGCCCAGGCCGCTGCGCTCGATGGCGCCAACGGCGGCGCTATGGCCACTTGGCGCATCTTCTGCCACGCCAAACCCTGGGCGCCACCGCAATAGCGCCGCCGCGAGGGGCCTCAGCAGCGCTCGCAGGAAGAGCGGCGCCCGCGCCCTTGGCCGCCCCGGCATCGGCCAGCTCCTGGAGCCCAGCC